GGTTCATCTCCCCCAGCAATCTTTTAACCACTATAACTGTTTTGCTTCAACATAAAATATCTTCATGTTTCATACCAACGTAACTCAATCCAATGACTATTAGAGGGACAAGTTTGATGGCTTAAGCATGAATGAGTCTAAAGTTAAATGGGATTAGTGTTAAGGGACCCTCTTTTCACTTCCGCCATCCTGAATTCTTAGACCAGTAAGCAACCAGTAAATCTGTCAATCATTCAACCAGTCAGTCAACAACTTTGTCAGGCGCTCTGGTACCATTAACTCAGTCAAGCAGTCGGTCACCCAGAAAAGCATCTACTCAATTACCAAGTTAGCCACCAGGCGATCTGCAAGTTGGTCACCAGTCCGTCTAATTTTTCCCAAAACTCTGTTTTCAGCGCTAGGTCAGGAAGACTTGACGCATTTTAGTCTCTACACAAATTTCGTAGGAAACATCACGGTGTCTAGCAAATTTCTGTTTTTTCTTACATATTTCAACACATTCGATTAAAAAACGTTGGTTTTGGCTTGTTTCTAGATAAATTTTGCAAAAGCTTGCTTTCAGCATGAGTTGAGCAAGACGACCCAATTCTCTCTCTGGCCAAATTTCGCAGGAAACTACGGGTTTTAGGCAAGTTTTAGTGTTTTTTTAATAGATTTTCATCTATTAAATAAGATTGCTTCTGGCCTGTTTGATATAGCTTTTGCAAAACCGTCTCTTCAGCGCGAGCTGAGCAAGACCTTATGCATTTCAGTCTTTGGCCAAATTTTGTAGAAAACGTTGGGTATCGAGCAAATTTTAGTGTTTTCTTACAGATTTCAACACATACTGTTAAAAAAATTGGTCTTTGCTTATCTCAAGATACTTTTTTAAAAACCATGTTTTCAGCACGAATTGAGCAAGACTTCGCCCAATTCTATCTCTGGTAGAATTTCGCAGGAAACTTCGGGTATTAAGCAAGTTTTAGTGTTTGTTTACAGATTTCAACACAATTCATTAGAAACAATTGCTTTTGGCCTGTTTGCAGATACTTTTTGCAAAACTGTGTTTTCAGCGCAAGTTGAGCAAGACCTCACGCAAGTCGATATCTGGCCAAATTTCGAAGGAAACATCGGATACCAAGCAAATTTTAGTGTTTTCTTACAGATTTCGACACATTCTTCTCAAATAAATTGCATTTGGCTTGTTTGAAGATAGTTTTTTAAAAACCGTGTTTATAGCGAGACTTGAGCAAGACTTGATCCAATTCCATCTCTGGTAAGATTTCGCAGGAAACTTCGGTTATTAAGCAAATTGTAGTGTTTCCTTACAAATTTCAACACAATCCATCAGAAACAATTGCTTTTGGCCTGTTTGCAGATAGTTATTGCAAAACCGGGTTTTCAGCGCGAGTTGAGTAAGACTTGACGCAAGTCAATGTCTGGCCAAACTTCGAAGGAAACATCTGATATCAAGCAATATTTACTTTTTTCTTACAGATTTCGACACATTCTATTCAAATAAATTGCTTTTGGCTTGTTTGCAGATAGATTTTTAAAAACCGTGTTTCCAGCAGGACTTGAGCAAGACGACGTATTTTAGTCTTTGGCCAGATTTTGGAGGAAACATACAATATCAAGCAAATTTAAGGATCTTCTTACAGCTTTTGACATATTCTTTTAAAAAGAACTGGTTTTGGCTTTTCCGAAATCATGTTCTTAGCACGAGTCGAGAAAGACTTGACCTAACTTCTCTCTCTGACCGAATTTCCCAGGAAACATTGATCATCATGTAAGTTGTAGTGTTTTCTTACAGATTTCAACACAATCTATTACAAAACATT